TCTGTGGTGTGGCTTGAACTCTCGTCTGCGGTGTGCCGTGAACTCTCGTCTGCGGTGTCTTCTGAACTCTCATCTGTGACTCAGATCCAACAGACTTGAACTCTCGTTGAACTCTCATTGAACTCTCGTTGAACTCTCGTTGACCTCTCGTCTGCGGTGTGGATCGAACTCTCATCTGCAGTGTGCCGTGAACTCTCGTCTGCGGTGTGTCCTGAACTCTCATCTGTGACTCAGATCCAACGGACATGAACTCTCATTGAACCCTTGTTGAACTCTCGTTGAACTCTCGTTGACCTCTCGTCTGTGGTGTGGCTTGAACTCTCGACTGAGACTCAGATCTAACAGAAGCTCCAGGTGACTCTTCCTTGTCGTCACTTTTGTTGCAGTATCAGGATGTCAGATCATTGACTTTGACTTTTGGGGGAATTGAGCCCTTGTCCGTGGTTTGACTTTGCCTTCTCACCACTTTTTTTTGCTGCAGGATGTCAGAACACGACTTTGGTGTTGTCTGTGTGGAGTTCTCACACGATGATCGACTCCTCTGCAGCATCGGCCCTCCACGTTCACAGAAAATCATTATCTGGGACATGAGCTCTGGATGCCAGGTTAGAAAGTGTAATACTGAAAAAAGCTCTGAAGAGTCTGTTGACTCTGTTCCAATCTATAACAGGCAGCTTCCCAGCCTCCTATCTTTTTGAGAACTTGTGTCCCACGGTTGGTCCCACGGTTTTTCCACCGGCGCTGGAGTTGGCAGAGGGACGTACCTAGCTACCTTCTCCTCTGAATGTAATACCCGACCATTCATTGTCGTGAACATACACGAAAGGACACTAAATCATCGTCCTTGTTGTGTTTTGGGAAGAAGTTAGTGGCAATGTTTATCCCGTCCCACGGTGTGTCCGATGGTTTGTCCCACAGTTTGTGGCATTGTTGTCCTACAGTTTGTTCAATGGTTTGTCCCACAGTTTGTGGCATTGTTGTCCTACAGTTTGTTCAATGGTTTGTCCCACGGTTGGTCCCATGGTTTTTCCTTGGTTTGTCCCATTGGTGTGCGGGCAAAGTTTTGTCCCATGGTTTGTCCCATGGTTTGTTCCACGGTTTGTCCCACGGTTTTTGTCCCATGGTTCGTCCCACTGCTGTGCAGTCATGATGATCGTCCATTGCGTTCAGCGAAAGAAGCTAGTGGAATACTTTGTCGTAAGGACGAATCCATAAGACATTGTAATAAGGGGTGTTCGGCTTGCTCCTCTCTTTCCCACCACCATCCTCCCTAGCTGCATCTGTTTCATTATTTTCCTGCCTGAATATTGCGTGTCAAAGGGAGGAATATAGATGCAGTCATGCAGCAAACGATCGTATCATATCCGTGCACGACAGGTCAGCCACCAAGCAACCACAGTCATACTCATCAATGCACGTTTCCCTACACCATCGACCCCCCGCTCCCTTCTCTACCTCCCCTCTCCTCTCCAACCGCCCCCTC